CAACATGTGAGCAAAGGCAAGTATTAGAGACAATAGAAATAAAAAGAAGAACACTTAAAAGTAGCAACAGAAAGAGACAGTTGAAATTTCTGGGGTATATAATGAGGAGAGAGGACTTGGAGAATTTGAAACTCACAGGATCTACTGAAGGCAATAGGGGCAGAAGAAAGCAGTGGATAACCTACTGTTGCGTCATTGGATGACAGTACAGGGATAAGGAGGGATAGCAAAAAAAACAAACTTTACTAAGGCTACAAAGGAAATTATGGAGAGCCATGATCACTCACCCATATATGCTGAGACTAATTAACAAAATATTGGGGTGAATAAAACCTTAAGTCTCATGTTATCATTAGTGAAACTGTTGTGTCCTGTTTAGGGGCTTGAAAGAAAGACACTGAAGATGAAGGTAGGTTGAACAAGTGTATTGACATAACAGATATATACAAAGCAAGAGTGTTAGTAATAAGCAGATAGAGGTATACGTCCGAACGGTAGGTTAACACTACATCTCCACTCCCCAACCGACTGTCACAGTTAGTATTTATGAGAGGAGGAAGAGTTCATTCTACTACCAAAACCACAACATATTCCTTACAGCTTCATAAGCAGTTAGTGTGTCTTAGTGGCTTGCTTGGGGTGAACTCAATTTTAAAACAACATAAAAAGTTAAAGTTAATAAGTATTTGGGTCCTTTTTTTCTGTTGGGTAATGTTTAGTAAACTAGTCTGGCTGACTATTACAACAAGATAGTAAGTCCTCTTTTTATTAAGTGACCCACAAATATGACCTTGTGCTAATTAAACTTACTCAATAGCAAATTTGCTAGATAACTTCTATTTTGTAGTCAGTTTGCATCTCACTGTGTGTGCCACACCAATTACTAAGACTTGGAAGGAAAATAAATTTATCTCAACTACGAAAACCACAGTGTCATTTGTATAGATAGTGCAAAAACATAATAGAGATAAGGGTTGTTAACGTTCTACAATGACCTGATGACAACCTTACCAGAGTCATCTACCAGTTTGACCTACCATCTACAAACTGGATATGACCTTGCAGGAAACCCTGCAGTCACTGGAAAGATTTGGCAGCAGTAGTAGTTATCAAATTGGAAAATGGGAACAGCATGACAAGTTAAAATTCCAGCGGAGTTTGTTGTACTTAGGTTTGCACAAATACTCTTGTCAAAGGTCTGAATCTATTTTTTCTCCTCTAATTAGGGGTTAAATACTAAGACAGACTAGGTTCTAAAGCCTTGGTTAGCAACCAGTTTAGGGGAAAGATAACACTGAATTCACAACTGATTGGGTATGAGGCTGGCAGATACATGCTATTTAAGAAGCTTACTTACAACAGAAACTACTGTAGAAACACTTAGTGCGGGGAGGCTGTGGCCCTATACACAACATGAACTGAGAAGGACTCCTGTCTGTCTTTTCTTACAGAATAATTATTTGGAGAATATATGACTGGGTAATTTTAAAATTAAATGACCTGTCACAACAAATGCTGATAAAAAAATTAAAATGTTTTGAGATATATATATATCAAAATGCAGACACAAAAACAAATTTTGACTAAGTTATTTAAAAATCGAAAACTGAAAACGAAAAAGAATAAAGAAAAATAAATAAATAATGGAATAAAATAAACAAAAAAAAAAGAAAAAGAAATTCATCCAAACCAATAAATTAAGTAAATAATAATCAAATTAACAAACAATGAACGCACACGTAAATACAATTAAGTATAATAATAACAATCAACAATAAAATAATCACTAATAAAAAAAAAATTAATAAACAACTCTATAAAAAACCAAAAAACTGCATCTGGAGCCACAATTATTGCAACTCTATAGCCTATAGAATAATTTGAAACATATCTGTTTTCTTCCCAGCAAAATAACTGTTAGAATAATGCAATAGATTACCCAGAATGCATCACTGATCTGTATACAGTGTAAACCGGGTATAAGAGAGTTGTCGGGACCAGAGAAAAAGTCTCTTATATCCGGGTTTCTCTTATATCCGGGTCTCTTGTATCCGGGTTACACTGTATAATAAAAAAGAGATGTAAAGTTATATAAAAAAATACTACAGTGTAACCTGGATATAAGAGAGTTGTCGGGACCGGAGAAAAAGTATCTTATATCCGGGTTTCTCTTATATCCAGGTTTGGTCTATTTTGTTTAGGTAAGTATGGCTCTAATTTGGGACCAGAGAAAATCTCTCTTATATCCGGGTTTCTCTTATATCCGGGTCTCTTATATTCGGGTTACACTGTATATAAATAATCAAGTAAGAACACAATGCATATGGCTTGCTGATTGTGCTTAGCATAAAACTTCAATGTCCACTTTTATATTTATATAGCCTCTATTTTTGATACTGATAACTTTAACTCATAAATATAGTATACCTTAAAACTATATATATATATATATATATATATATATATATATATATATATATATATATATATATATATATATATATATATATATATATATATATATATATATATATATATATAGAGAGAGAGAGAGAGAGAGAGAGAGAGAGTGAGAGAGAGTGAGATAATATTAGTGGTAAAAATACACATACATATGCAAAAATTCTTTTTGAATTTGTAGATCTGATGAATTGGATTGTATTTACGATTCCAATGGAATAAATTATGACCATGGAATATTAGTGTTTAAACCTTTTTATTATATATATATATATATATATATATATATATATATAGTGGTACTCATTTGGTAAAACCTCGGATAGCTCAACTTGCAGTAGAACAAATCAGTGCACGAGGAAAAATGGGGAATAAAAAAAGAAAGAACCAAGAACATTAAAACAAGGCGAAAACAATCGTCCAGTGTTTAAGCTCCAAATCCAAAGAAAAAAAAACAAAATGAGTAAAAAGTCAACTACATAAAGTGCTCAATACACTAAGTAGAGCAATAACCTAAGATAATCCTCAGGAGCCAGGCAAATCTACGTAGGTTTCACCTAAATGGATCCTCAGGGTAAAGCCGAAATTTCAATAACCAAAAACACTTTTCTTAAAAGAGTGCTCAATACTGAGTAAAGCAACTAATATTTATTCAAAATTATGACATATTCATGTTATAACATCACTACAAAAATTGCAATTTTGTTTCAATACTACTGGCGTCTTATCAAGTGATGAGTTTGATTGCAAAATAGAGTTTTAAGAGTTCAAAAACCAACAAAACCCTCTCAATAGGGGAAACATTATTACATAACCTGTAATGACCAATCAGAATACAAGTATATGGTCATTCAAAATAACATGACAATCTAAGTACAATCTCTTAGTGCGTTAAAGTTAAGATATTAGAAATCAATATAACAAATAAAGTTTTAATTTCACAGTTAAATTTAAAATTAAAAATTACAAATATCCTATTCTAAGTTTAACCGAGCATCAAGTTTAATATTATTACAAAATTATTCAGAAATGAACCTAGGGGAAAAAATATTTTTTATTGTTCCTAGTGAAGTGCCAATTTATCAGTTAAGTTTGATGCTGATGTAAGATGTATATATGATTGCTACACATAATTGATACATGGAAGTCTGAATTCAAATAATTGTGTATTAGAATATGAATGTGTTTGACCTGTCATTTGATAATTCCTTTCCCGAAGCACCTCCTTATTTGAATTCAGACTTCCATGTATCAAATATGTGTAGCGATCGTAGATACATAAGCGTTGAATTTAACTGATAAATTGGCACTTTGCTAAGCACAATAAAATATATTTTTTCTCCTAGTTTCATTTCTGAATAATTTTGTAATAATATTAAACTTGATGCTTGGTTAAATTTAGAATTGGATATTTGTAATTTTTAATTTTAAATATAACTGTAAAATTAAAACTTTATTTGTTATATCGATTTGAACTAGGTTTTTAAACATTAAAAACCTTCTGTACATTATTGTGAATGTACAAGGTTTGAAAATATCTAGCAGTTCAATTTATTACTTGTAATAATTAATATTTATCAATCTGTATTAAGCTGAGTGCTTTGGAGAATGCTTTTTGTCATGACGGGAAAATTGTCATTGATCACAGGAGATTCTTTGTTCGAACAAAAGAAAAAAAAACTCATCTCTGTTTAAATATGAATGCATGCACACACACACAAAAAAAAATACTAAGAAGACATCTTTCAAAAACATGCAGACAACCAAATGATGAAAATAATAATATAGGAGAAAGATTTTTTTTATTTCAGAGGTAAAATGCTGGTGCCATTGTAGTGATGGGGATGTATTTTTTAGCTTTTGCTAGCTGCTTATCTATTTTTGAATATTACCAATATTCTTAATGAGTAATATTGAAAGGCAGTTTGTGTAATTTCTTCAAATCAACTGGAAAGTGTCTTGGAGCAGTGTAGAGATTAATGGAATAATCTTTGATGAATTCTATTTTTGATTGAATTCTTAGTGACGACTCTCACTCCTCACCGGAAAATATTTTTTTTAATTTGTTTTTCAATCAACCAATTTAATTTTCTATCCAAAGTTAGAAGCAACTTGAAGAACTAATGCATTTTTTCAATCAGACAACCATTTTTTTATGATATTAATGAAGAAATGACAAATGAAAGTGGCAGAAAGAAGTAAAAAATTATAGGGTGCAGATAAGAATTTTCAAATCTTGGGATTCAGTTTTCAATTAACAAAAAAACAAAATAAAAACTTTCCTATTAAACTAATAAAAATTTCAATTCTAAGGCTGTAATCAGCAAAATCTGTGGAGAATCATGTACTTGATCTTTTAAAACTTCTGATGTTCAAAAGTGGATGTGCAGGTAGCGTAGCAGTTCAAATTCCAACTAAGCCTTTTGAATTCACTTTCTCACAAACTCCCTAGGCACAGGTATAAATCTATCACTACTTCTCACTCTGAACAGTGGGCTAAATAGAAGGGTACATTGGGATCTCTAGCCTGTCTTGTCAGGTAGACACACCAGTTCCCACACAATCACCAAAGTTAAGCAATGTCAAGCCTGGTCAGTACCTAGATGGGTGACTTCTTGGAAAGGCAAGGTGTTATAAGCTTGGATGTGTGAGTGATGTAATGGATAATAGCTTGGAATTGTTAATTGGAGATCAGAGTTCAAATTCCAGTTAGGTTTGTTATATTTACTTACATGCAAATACTCTTGGGGAGAGGTATGAATTCAGCTCTTCTTCCCCCAGCTATGGGATAATTAGTAATAATTCTCACTATATAAAAATATTTCTGGCTTTAAATAAAAATAACCTAGACAGGGTTGATAAGCAAGAGAAGAAATCAATCAATCAATCTCTTGAGAGTCTAAGAGAAAAGAAAACTGAATTTGAATTGTGCAGAAAGCAATAGGAAACCACTCCACTATCTTTCCCAACAAATCATGGGAATTTAGAGATAATAAAAAGATAGGTATCTGTGGTGAGCCATGATTGCCCACAATCTGAAGAGACATGGCATTAAAAAAATATGATGATTAAAAACTTGTCAATCCTGTTTAATCCTTACTATATTTATAGATGACTTCATTTGTCAAGGACCAAGTTTATCCTGCCATTGGAAGCATCCTTGGCCACTAAAGGATTTTTCTCTTTTTTTTTTTTTTACAGTGCGAGCCACCCTTTACAAGGCCCAGGGGCCACTCTAGGTAGAGGGTTACATTAGGAGTCTATTTGTGTGTATCAGTGAGGGAGATAAGGATTAACCTTGCCTTGAACAGGTTAAGATTGTAGTGATCAGGAAAACAACCTCTTGGGAGTTGGTTCCAAAGGGCAGTGGTTTGTGTGAAGAAGCTGCTCAAGCAGAACTTACTTCTCACCAATGGAATAAAGAGGGAATGCAGATGGTTTGCTTCTATGTTAATGGTATGGTGTGTTCTTGCCATGAAAGTTTGACTTGACAGGACCAGGGAATGTAGTTTGTCTGAGCACTTTCCATGGAAGTAGTGGTAGAGCAATGAGAGGCTTGCCACATCCTGCCTGTGGGAGAGGGGTTGAAGGGTGGAGAATAATTAATCACCCACAAGGGCTCAGTGATGCTTTTGAACTTTAAAGGTTGGAGAGTGAGGTCTTGGCAACTCCCATCCAGATATGACAACAGTATTCCATTTTTGGTCTGATTTGGCTCTTGTAAAGGTAGAGGACAACAGAAGTGGTCAGGTACTTACTGGAGTGGTACAGGGAGCTATCCATTTTACCTGCATCCTTAGCAACAGATTGTTTGTACAAATTCCACTTGAGGTATGGTGTGAGTTTGAGGCGCAATATTCTTGTAGGAAGATCACAGTTGTTTTCCCTTGGGATGAGCTCATGGAAGTTTGGCCCCTTTAGAGAGGAGAACTCTTCTGCCCCTTTTAGTTTTTGCTTCTGTTTTTTGAGGAACAGCCTCTTTACTCTTGACCACCAGGGCATCCACATATGTGGAAACTGGTCAACATGTGCACGGCCTAGCGAAAGAAAAAAGTAATTTCTATTCACTTATCTGCGGACTATCAAAGGCCATAAAGCTGGTATGTTATTTCTTTGTTCTCGTTCTGTAAACATCCTCATTCCTCTGGGACGATATGAACAATCATTTGTTTTGGGACATATGTAAATATTTTTAATATATGCATGTAAGTTGTTTGCCTTATTAAATGTTTTGTTTGTTACGCTTGCGTATTTCGCCTTTCTATATTCGTATTCAGTGTTAGTGTATCAACGGCTACACTAATGCTAATATTAGTATCGGTGTGCTACTGGAAGGCTAAAACATGTTATTCTTCCTAACACAAAACAGTCGGTAAACTCTGTGTGGCTGATAACCTATACTAATATTCTTTTAAGGCATGGTGCTTACCCGAGAGGAAAGCTGTTCATCTTGATTGGTGGCAGTTTGGGGTCAGATCAATGAGGATGGATGTTGGTTATGCTTGAGTGCTGTCAAATCCTGCTCTGGCAACAGCTAAAACAATTTCATCTTAAATATCAAACTGAAAATGTAGCTTGAAAAACATAAACATGTTGAAATGAATAGTCAAAAGAAACATTTGGCATAATTCCTCTTAATTCTCATGAAAACTATCATTTATAAATTTTAAAATGCTAATAAAAAATAGAATTATCAATAAAAATAAGATTAAACAATTTAAAAGTAGACTTTATCTCATTTCAAAGGACTTTCAACAGCAGCAACAACTAAAATGAATAGCACATGTAACTCAAAGAGAAAATAATGTCATACTCAAGATTATCAACATTCCACACTACATCAAACAAAAGGTTAGGAAGTAAGCCATTATCAGTACTGAAAAGAGCAATGACAGTGAACTTAAAAAGCCTATTTTGCTGAAAAATTGTCGTAAGAGAAAGATTTTATAAATTTCAACAGATATTGGCACTGGCTGCTCGGTCTGTGAATGCTAGATGTTTCCTTATTGCAGATTATTTAAAACAAATATATTTCAATTTGTAAGAATACTTCCATTTTTATTTTCCAAGTGAATAATTATTTTTTTTTCAGATACAAGTACTACTATTTAATCCATAGCTGGAAGGGAGGAGAGGGATTCATACCTTTACCAAGGATATTTGTACATAAGTAAATGTAAGAAACAATTGGAATTCAAATTAACATATTTATTAAAATTATTATTTCAGTGAGTAAATTGTAAATATTAAGTACCTGCTGAAGTTTAGTTGTTAATATATTTATTAAAAAATTATAATAATTTGAGGAGTAATTTACAAGTAAAGAGTATATGCTGAAACTCAGCTAATATATTTATTAAAACAGGATAATATTTTAAGGGGTAATTTCCAAGTAAGGAATATCTGCTACAATTTAGTTGTTAATATATTTATTAAATACTAGCAGTAGAGCCTGGCGTTGCCCGGGGATGTAACAGTAAGAGATAGATCAAGTATCAACCATCATAAAGACTGAAAAATAAAATTGACAATGATTATTGTTTAAGGTTGACGGACATGCATGTCTTAATTAGCTTTTTGTTTTTTGTTTGTTTGTTTTTTTTTGTTTTTTTTTACGAATTGGTCAAACCCAAACTCAAACAAAAGCATTGTTTTCAATCGTTATGAGTCTACCTAATTCTATTATTTCATTATAAACAATTGTCATGTAAATGGAATTTTTAAAGCATTCTGAATGAAAAAATAAAGAAAAAAGTGTGCAAGACAATAAGAAACACTACCTGCCAAAAAAAAGTGAAGTTTTGTTGAAATTGGTTGAAAAATGTAAGAAATCCAATCCCATATATAAATGAACACACACACACACACACACACAAACAACCTGGGTTTTATAATAAGTATAACTTATGAGTTGTCCCCCTTTCATTCTCGACAGCGATGCCTCTTAATAATGTTTTCAAATAGATTTCGTGTAAAAACAATTGTGTTTTTCCAATTTTTGGCACTGTCAGAACCACCGCAAGGTAATTTTATGTAGCCCTGTGAAATTTTGTTGAAATTGGTTGAAAAATGTAGGATATCCGATCCAATATATAAACGAAACAGACTTTTGGGGAGTAATTTGCAAGTAAGGAGTATCCGCCATGACAAATCTTGACAAGTTTTAAGAAATGGGTTGCAAATCAAGTACAAAAAAGACAAACATGGGTCATACAGAAGGAAGTATTGCTGAAAGCAATAAAATACAGGAAGCTATGGAGAATCATGCTGCTGAAGGAAAATAGAATATAGATGATAATTGAAGTAACTGATGATGACCGACAGAAACCAGTATCAGAAACTGAGGTCTTGAACATTATTTGATTTGCAAACCTGGAACATATTGTGTTGCAGGAAATCTATGATTGAATTCAAAATGTCTACAGTGAAGATTCCCCTTCACATGCAACAGTCAGAAATTGAACTACCGAATGTTTCTGAATTAGGAAACCCATTTTAGAGAAACTACAGAGTCTGCAGAAACAACCTTTGTTGAAAGAAAAAAGAAAAACAATGTAAAAGAATTCTTTTCCTACAGTCATGTCATTAGCCTTACATTAGTTACATGGGGTGTTTTCACACAAAAAAGAAAATGTTTTTCCTTCATATTTTGAAAGTCGCAAGTCAGATTTTCATGATTAGACAAGTAACTTTCTGGCAAAGTTGGATCTTTGTGCCTGCAAAAAAAATGATGGTGAGTCACAACGACATTTTTTCCATTGAAACCATTTATTTTAATTACTTTCACTCCTCAGTAATGTTTATTGTTTTAAAAAGCAATAATTAGAGTTGTAAAAAAGCCTAAACATTAAAGTAAATTTACATGTTTTCTTTGTTCTTGAGAATTGGCAACAAAAATAATCTCTATCTATAAAAGGCAGGATGTGTGTGTGTGTGCATGTGTGTGTGTGTGTGTAACGAATGCATGGCCACAATTTTTGACAGATTTGCACCAAAATTTACATGCACATGCTCCAAGTTAACAGGAAGGCCAAGACTGACTTTGCATTTCCCAACTCCCATTGATAGTGGAAATAATCGATTTTTCATGCTTCTACAGCAGTTTTTATGTAGTTTGTGGCCATTTTGTACTGGCCAGAGTGAGAGCCAACAGCTGACTGACACGAATGTTAACTAGCATGCTAGCATGCAAAAAAATTGATAGCTGCATTCATCACACGTGGGAAAAATTTAAATCTGCATGGCACTTTACTCCAATTGGCTCATTTGCTTGCTTAAACTCAACGTTGATTCTGATTCTGAAGAACTGGGTTGGGTGTGAAAAACTATTTGTTGTTAACATTCTTTTTTCATTGGTTTTTCCAGTTACGAGTCCTTTTTTTAAAGCTGCTTGTTTTGTGTTCATTTTGTTTAGTTCTTTTTTCGTAACAGATTTAATGGTTAGTAAAGAGCTCAGAAAAAATTTGCAGTGTGAGATAGGCATGTAAGTAAGGCATGTTGCAACATCAGCATGGCAAAGGGCACTCCTTTAAAGGCAAGGAAGGGCAAAAATATTTTAAGTCAAGTGATAGTGATTGCTGTATGAGTCGTACGATTTTTTAATCAAGCATGGGCAACGCCAAGTCATGCAGCTAGT